CACTGTTGTTAACGTTCGCCACCTTTCACGTAGAAAATTGATTCCATAGCTGAAGTCCAACGCGATTCCAAGAATAGCTTCTTCTTTCTCGCCTTTTTATTTTCTTCCATTCGAAACAGAGAGGTTTGTGAATTCGGCCGGGCCACGAGAGTTCCAGTACCACGTGGAGAGAAGGTAGAAGATGTATACTAATTGAAGGGCCGGTTAGAAGCAAGACAGTAGCGAGTCTCTTGATTAACACCTCCTCCGGACCACACACAGTCTCGGTTTGAAGAATTTCCAGTCCTATTTTTATTTATCGACACACGGCCGAATCTGCACGCGTGTAATAATGACACGGCCCTTTTCAACGGGATCGTTGTTCTTTATTATTCTTACCACCGAGGGTATGACACTGACGACTTGGGTGCGATACTGGCAGAAAATTATCGAGAAATATCCTAGAGAAATATTTTTCAGAGTATTCTTATTCTAAATACATTGTAAGTATCCCAAGAGTTGAACATTCCAATTTAAAAAGAAAAATAAAATAAAGTTTTTAATGACCCTATAAAGGCTGAAATTTCAAGATTAGAATTTCCCAATATTCCTGTAAAAAGTAAAATTTGAAAATTCAGAAATTTTTGATACTTCTATGAAGAAGAATATTGGAAATAATAGATGATATTTGAAAATTTGGGATATTCTTTAACATTCGTGATGCTATCTATACTGTGATCACATGGATCATGAAATTTCTCACGTATCTGAGTCACAGATAATGCATTAAAGATTAACAAAATTCGGAGAAGCTTGATCACGAGTGATCGAAGGATTTAACTTGGTCCATTGGCGGATAAAGGATAACAGCAGCCTTAAATCGAGAAGAACTTTGAAAATATGTTCGGCCAGGCAATGCACACCGGGTAAGAGTGCAGAAACGCTTCGCGAAAACATCAACAGCAGAAGGAGGATGGCAGAGGGGGCGAGAGGAGGAAGGAGAAAAAAAGCGACTACTTTCGGAAGTTCATGAAAGTTCGTTTACACAAC